GCATAATCTGACTCTGCAGGGGATGTGTCCAACTCCCCATGCTACTAGGCCTGTACTGAGCACTGGTTGGTTTTCCGCCTTCTATACCCTGTCGCACACGGAACTGAGACGTGATCCTCTGATCTCTCCAGGTCTGACTCTGCCTTCCTGGGCAGGTTGCTGCTTCCCCTCTGATTTTTCTCATTTGGAGTCCTCCGCAAATGTAATCATGGCTAAATTAATGCCAGAGCAGCAAAGCCCTGGCCCAGGAGCTAGCCAGCTTCTCCACTTGGAGGCTGCCTAGTGCCACGCTGCTGCAGCAGAGACTCGATCTAGAGTCCGTTGAACCCGGATCTCTTCTCCCTCTTGCATTGTGTAACGTTCCTTGGTCTTATTTCTTCTGTGAGCTCCTGTGACATGATACCCGCTGGTAGGGATATATTATCGACCACTGATCAAGACCGTGATAGTGACTATGAAATGCTAAGGGAGATTAGAGAGGTGATCCAAATAAAAAACTCAATAATAGTGGGGGGAGTTCAACTATCCCCATATTGACTAGGTACATGTCACCTCAGGACGGGATGCAGAGATAAAATTTCTTGATACCTAAAATCACTGCTTCTTGGAGCAGCTGGTTCTGGGAACCCACAAGGGGAAAGGCTATTCTTGATTTAGTCCTAAGTGGAGTGCAGGATCTGGTTCAAGAGGACTATAACTAGGCCGCTTGGAAATAGTGACCATAGTGTAATAAAATTTAACTTCCCTGGGGTAGGAAAAACACCTCCGCAGCCCAACACTGTGGCATTTAATTTCAGAAAGGGGAACTACATAAAAATGAGGAGGTTAGTGAAATGGAAATTAAAAGGTACAGTAACAAAAGTGAAATCCCTGCAAACAGGATGGAAACTCTGCAAAGACACCATAATAGAGGCCCAACTTAAATGTATACTCCAAATTAAAAAAGACAGTAAGAGAACCAAAAAGTGCCACTGTGGCTTAGCAACAAAGTAAAAGAAGCAGTGAGAGATAAAAAGACATTTTTCAAAAAGTGGAAGTCAAATCCTAGTGAGGAAAATAGAAAGGACCATAAACTTTGTCAAATTAAGTGTAAAAATATAAGAAAAGCCAAAAAGGAGTTTGAAGAGCAGCTAGCCAAAAACTGAAAAAGTAATAGCAAAATATTTTAAGTACATCAGAAGCAGGAAGCTGGCTAAACAACCAGTGGGGCCCTGGATGATCGGGATGCTAAAGGAGCACTCAGTGCGGAGAAGCTAAATGAATTCTTTGCTTCAGTCTTCATGGCTGAGGATATTGGGGAGATTCCCAGACCTGAGCCATTCTTTTTAGGTGGCAAATCTGAGGAATTGTCCCGGATTGTGGTGGTGTTAGAGGAGGTTTTGGAACAAATTGATAAACGTAACAGTAACAAGTCACCAGGACCGGATGGCATTCACCCAAGAGTTCTGAAAGAACTCAAATGGGAAATTGCAGAACTATTAACTGGTTTCTAACCTATCCCTTAAATCTGCTTCTGTACCTAATGACTGGAAGATAGCTAACATGACACCAATATTTAAAAAGGGCTCTAGGGGTGATACTGGTAAGTCTAACGTCTGTACCAGGCAAATTAGTTGAAACTATAGTAAAGAAAAAAATTGTCAGACACATGGATGAACATAATTTGTTGAGGGAAAGTCAGCATGGTTTCTGTAAAGGGAAATCATGCCTTACTAATTTGCTAGAGTTCTTTGAGGGGGTCAACAAGCATGTGGACAAGGGGGATTCAGTGGATCTAGTGCACTTACTTTTCCAGAAAGTAAAGGTAACTCACCAAAGGCTCTTAAGTAAAGTAAATTGTCATGGGATAAGAGGGAAGGTCCTCTCATGAACTGATAACTGGTTAAAGGACAGGAAACAAAGGGTAAGAATAAATGGTCAGTTTTCAGAGTGGAGAGAGGTAACTAGTAGGGTCTTGATCAATCCTATTCAACTTATTTATAAATGATTTAGAGAAAGGGGTAAACAGTGAGGTGCCAAATTTGCGCATGATACCAAACTGCTCAAGATACTTAAGAACAAAGCAGACCGTGAAGCGCTTCAAAAAGATCTCACCAAACTAAGTGATCGGGCAGTAAAATGGCAAATGAAATTGAATGTTGATAAATGTAAAGTCATGCACATTGGAAAATAATCCCAACTATATGTACACAATGATGGGGTCTTATTTAGCTCCAACTACTCCAGAGAGAGATCTTGGCATCATTGTGGATAGTTCTCTGCAAACACCCACTCAAGGAGCAGCAGCAGTCAAAAAAGCAAGAATGTTAAGAATCATTACAAAGGGATAGAGCAGCGTTTCCCACCCTATGGGCCTCAGCGTGGCTGCCAGGGTGTTCCAGGCTCCTGGAGTGCCCGTGTAGCGCTGGGTCCTCCACACCCTTGGCTGGGCTGGGCGGAGGATGCAGCTGGATGTTCTGGGCTCCCGGCAGAGGTGTAGCTAGGGTTACCAGGTGAGTTTAGAAAAAATGCCAGACACGCTTGATCTCAGATGGAGGGGAGGAGGGGGCAGGTCGGGTGGAAGTGTGTGTGCGTGCGGGGAGAGGGAACCGGCCGCCAGAAAGCAGGGCTGGCTGGGGGACATCGGGAGGAGGAGGGGGAGGGGAGAACCGGCCGGCAGGGCTGGTGGGGTAGCGGGGCTGGCCGGGGGAGGATGGGGGGGGGAG